TAAGATGGACCCTCAAATCTTAACAATAAGCTTTCAATTGACAATGATCAAGAATAAAAAATAAACGAGTATTAAAATGTGTTAAACAAATAATGGAAAACAGAGTATTACAACAATTACCAAGAGCAAGATAATATAGTCGGAAAAAGAACCCATAAAATGTTCAAAACAATAACATTTAATTATTTCTTGATTTTATGTTTCAGTATATGGTGGTGAACATATTATATAAGAGTTGCGGATACTATTACCACATTGACCATAAAGCTTAAATACATGTGCTACAATTATATTGTAGGTTTAATTTTCTTAATTGATCATATCATGTTGAATAACTCGTAAAAATAATGATGAATTTTGTATACTAAATTTGCTATTAGCTTTTTATTCAGAAAAAAAAGTTGCCGTTTGTATTAAGAAGAGACTGCTTCACCTTGGACTTAGCTGGAGAATAGATGCTACAACAAAACAGATTGTAAAACACAAAGGAAGCATTTGGAACACTGAATTGGATTAGAAGGATAGAATTGGGAGTGATAGGATTACAGGGGATTATATTAAGGTTGATTATGGCGTATTATTATAATATGGGGTTTAGTGCTATACCGTATAAGAACGTATAGGTATTGAAAAATAAATAATTTATGACAATTTCTCTAATCTTTAAAAAGAGTAAAGATACTTTCAAGTAACTTCTTTTTTCTACAAATATATATGAATAATTTACTTTTTCATTACTTTTAAGTAGACATTACATTTTCTAAACTTAAGTCTTACGTTAGTATCAAAATAAGTAACTTATCTACGAATGTATATTAGGATAACTTACCTTTTCTTTTAAGTATAAAAGTTATTCTTACTTTTTCTTTTAAGTATAAAAGTTATTATTTTGAATGTAACTCTTACATTGATGTCAAAAGAAGTAACTTACTCATTTTTAACTTTGATTATACAAAAATATACTTATTTTAAAACTTACTTAATTACTTTTAAGTAAAAAGTTATTTTTTTTTTCTAAAGGAAGCTTGAAAAAGTGCAGTTATTTCACATTTTGATAACTTCCTTTTTACCTTTAAGTAAAAAAGTAATATTTCTTAAAAGGAACCGATACCTACTTATTTTTAATTTTGATCGATAAAAAAAATTAATTCACAACTTACTTAAAAGAAAATTTACGTGTTCTTGTTTTTGTTTAGACTTTCGATTTGTGTTTCTTGCTTTTCGTTTTGCAACTAATAAAAAGAATAGTTGAAGTGAATTATGATGATTGTAAGTGTGTTTAAGTGGATTCTAATCTACCCTTAACCTGTGTCCCTACCTTCGATTATTTTACACGGTCAACATAAAATAGTACAAGTTGATCGGATAACGTATTACAGTGCACCAAACACACCTAAAGTGTATTAGGAACTTATGAAAAGGCTATAAGAAAAATATTGGCTATTCATTGGGATTCTGATGGAGATAGAGACGTTACTGCGTTGAATTCTCACAATGATTTGGTAGGAAGATACTTGTTTTAAACAAACTGAACCAATAGGATTAGCAAAAGCTTCACCGCAGGGGATGTCAAAAGAAAATGAAAGAAATATATCAAAAGCAATACATTTTAAATACTTTAGTAACATATATTTGTGGTGCCATATAGCCACTCTTGAGCCTTTTGTCCTAAATAACAAGTCTACGTACTTAAAAAGGTGACCTTTTCAATATGAAGAGTATAGTAAGAATATATATATATATATATCAACGGTTCATAAAAATGCATGGCGTATTTTAATCATAAAGTTGCAGCAACACAGATTCAATCTATTAAAATTCGGGTTCCATCTTAAAAAGTAAACATCGTTAAGAGTAGTTCAATCTCTTATGTATTGGTCTATATTTCAGTATTAATGAATATGAGATTTATCCATTAACATGTTTTTTGAAATGCTATGTAAGACCAATTATTCAGCAATTGTACACAAGTTTTGTGAAATAAAATTACACAACTCACAAGCATGTCTATCATGATAATGATTGTTCACAATTAGCGAAGAAAAATGATGAATGAATGCATGCACAAGAGCAATTAAGGATTTTGTCCAGAAATTAAACATGTGACTAATTATACACAAAAGAACTATAATCACAAAGGGAGAAGAGAGAAATAGAGTGAGGGCTAGGAGATTACACTGAATCTATTGGGTCTTCTTATATTTTTTAGAAGGCATTGGTATCTTTCTCAATATTTGTTCATCAATTTTCTGGTACTGTGTCTGAATAATCTTACATGCTATAACCAGCTTTTCATCGATTTGCTTTTGGTATTTGGTGTACAACACAGGTAGTGATAAACTAAGAAGAACAACTGCAAATAATAACAATAAAAACCCACATTACCACTAAAGAATATGAGAAAAATCAGAGACCTAGAGGAGATCCAGAAACTACTGACCAATATACGCCAGGGTAAGGAAGTTGAAGAAACTGCCAATGTAGGATATCACCCACAAGCCCAAAAAACCTAACAAGCAAAATCCACATTGCACGGAAATAACCTCAGATATCATATACACAATCTAAACTTTATCTACTCCGGGACAATGACAAATTAAACTGTGTAAATCACCAGAACAAAGAGTCTCAAGTTTCCACCAATGGCAATGTCATGTGCAATGGATAATGCTCGATTTACATAAACTAGCATCTCATCAGCGCCTTTCACAACAGATTCCTCAGAAATGTCAAGATTAGGAACAGGAAACAGAGGTCTAAAATCACAGAAATGANGTGCAATCGATAATGCTCCATTCACATAAACTAGCTTCTCATCAGCGCCTTTCACAACAGATTCCTCAGAAATGTCAAGATTAGGTACAGGAGGCTGAGGTCTATAATCACAGAAATGAATATCCATTCATTAAACTTTAAGATTCCGGTCAATAAATAAGGATTACATTGTTTGCATATAGAAACACCCATCATCAGAAAAACAAGAGGGCAGGCACATGGAACAAATGTCAGCCCTAAGAATGAAATAGCCCATCAGTTTCCGCCAGTCCTAAAAATGAAGCAATTTATGGCATATATAACAGCTAAGGAGAGTACAGTAACAAATCAGAACTCATTTAAAAGGCAGTAAATTCCACACATTGATATACGTAAATCCATCCAAATTTATGCTACCTATTGAGAAGCAATGCAGATTTGGCCCAGAAGAATAAGATCACTACAAGCAATAATAAGACATTTGAAATAAATGATAAGAGATTACAGTCGGCTCTTTCAAATAATAACCAACCGATAAGCAGAGCAGCACTCCCAAACCAATTTTTCCACAATAACACATCGGCAACTGCATCAAGAAAAGAGACATACAAAGCATTATTGCTTGAATAATTTATCAAATCCATCAAAAATCATGGATCT